GGCAGCGTCCATCAGCGACCACCAGCGATCTCGAGTGTCCGTCAGCGTTGGAGTCGAAGAATGTATAGATATTCTAGCGAATGCGAGCGTCTACCAGCGTCCACCAGCGGTCACGAGCAGAGAATGGGGAAGAATAGGTGTAGTAGGCCTGGTAGAGTGTGGGGAAATAGGAAGGAGCAGACAACTGGATCAGGTCTTGTGAAGTTGCGGCGTATACAACCACCGCACTACTACACAAGACCGTACACTGATTGTGCAACCATGGGCTTTAGCAATTGTACGGTGCGGTTACATAAGCCGCGATCTCACGACGCTTAACCTAGCCGACTGCTCCCTCCTACGTCCCCATACTCACCAGCAGCCTGCTACTCTCCTATTTCCTCATACTCGGCACTCTTGGTCGCTGGCTGGCGTCCGCAAAATCGATATCTATACTCTTTCTTGTCGCTGACGCTGACAGACGCTCGAAACGTGACGCTGCCGCGAAGTATGAACGCGGCCTTGTGTCATGGGTACTGCTCCATAACTGGGGAAGAATTTTAGATAGTATCTTGACCTGAGGAAAAACCTCGGACCGAATACGACATTTCCACCCTCAGGCTACCAAATAGGACCCCTTTGGTGATTCCAAGAGTGCGACTTGCTCTGCGCCTCCTTCCCCCACGTCAGACGTGTCTTGGGATGCTATGCTCTAACATTGGCATTAACGCATTGAAGTTAGCGTGCGAGTCCTCGCGTAACTGCGCCCTGTCCAATCCAACCATCTAGCCAGATGTTTCAACATTACTAATAGCTACCAAACAAACATCATTAAAGAGCCAATCCTGTTATGCTATCACGCCACACTAAAAGATCTTTTTTCAAAATCGCTTTCCATGTCGGGTTCAAACTGAGCCCATTTGGCTTCCTAGATTTACCGTGTATGCTCAGTGATCACCTAGCACCCCCATGCTCACCCGCACTCTTTAAGAGCGTCGGAGCCACTTCCGCGAGCGATCTTCTGTAAAAGATTGACTGGCATGTCGAAAGTTCCAGTCAAGGTAGGCACTTTTTAGGGAAAAAGTGCATGCTAGTTCCAGGCGTAAAGTAGGGGATAAGTCGACAAGATGTGTGGTACTCAGAGGAATCCTTGCTCAAAATTAGGTCCCCGAGCTCCTCTCTTGAGCGTGGACAAAAAGAAAGAAGGCTGTTACGGGACTGTTCACAAGTAGCCCCCTCAGCCGAATCGTTCCCATAAAAACTGTTTAGAGATACAACGACACGCCAAACAACCCATCTGGCCAGAAAAACTCTGGATGGCAGATACTTGACATGTTCACTTCAAAAAAATAACTCCAAATGGAAGTGCAACGATGATCTGTTCAATCGGAAAAGAAAGAGTACTAAAATAGCACGGGGACTCTCAAAGCACCCTAATGAAGAAGTAAGATGTGCTGATGACGTGAAGACAGGACAGACCGATAGCGAATGAACTGTAGATTCTTCCAGGCTATGGGTTTGAATTGCGCCCATTCCCGCGCGCCAAACAGGCGGTCATCAATGGAGCGCGCTTGTTGATGCTCCCTGTCAGGGCTAAAACAATCATCAGCATAAGTGTTACGGGTAGTCCAATTATGAACCAGTAGCCCATAACGAGTCCCCAGTAGAGAAGGGAGCAGAAGAAACCTTGTCACCCTTTACAAAACCTTTGGAAGACTTGAGAAAGTGGTAGGAGGTTGGGGAAATTTGGTAAGATGGTAGGTAGGATAAGAAGTGATGAGTAACGAGACCAGATGGGGGTTTGGAAGAGTGTCGCACTAATATTGGTCGCACTAATGTACCCTGCCGCTATAGCCAGCAAGACTTTGAAACGGTAGCTTCAAGAAACAAAGCTCACTGCAGCACCACATCTGGGGCCGTATGCTATACTTCCCCTCGAAGGGTGATTTCCCCTTGTAAATCTCCATTCCTGCCGTTATCTCTACTGATGCCCCTCGTCTCTCTGGCTCTCACCGCTCTGCATCCATACTCTTTTGGCGCATGCTCTGTGCGAATATAGTGCAGCGCAGAGTATAATCGATATGTTCCCCTCTCTGGTCGTTTGGGGGGGGGGGATTCGGGCAGCGTTCAGACTTCGCGACGGCAGCGCTTCGGTCGCGCGTTCGACGCGATCGATGCAGTCGAAAGCATGCGCATCGATCGTCGAATCGCGCGACCAAAGCGCTGCAGTCGCGAAGTCTGAACGCTGCCTTCCGCGAGAGTGGGGGGAGATATAGATGCAGGGAGGCAGGAGCAGAGAGACGAGGGATTGATAGAGATAACAGCAGAGAGCGGAGATTTACTTGGGGAAATCTCCCCTTTGAGGGGAATTATAGCATATGGCCCCTGATTGAGCGCTCGTCGTATGGTGCACTCGTCATCCCTGAGCCAGAGTAGGTGTGGCATTTGAACATGACACGGAATTGGTTACTCGTGGAATATTCCAGTCTGGGACAACTGTCATCTTGTTCTGTGTTGGACAGAGACACGACAACAATTGTGTCAAGATGAAAATTTCTCTGTAGAAGGACAGACACCTTCAGGTTAAGTGGAAGCATTCGACCACATCTACCTGATCTCAGAGATTTCGAGTGTAGTATTATCCAGTAGTATTTGGAGTATTATCCAGTCCTGGTAAATTTTCCAGCTTATGTAGAGAAAACCGTTTACAGTGGGTCCTGGAGGCGTATAGCTTTTTTTGCTGTCTCCCCGCACGGCTTGACGAGGCTTCATTTGCACTAACAATAAGCGCGGTAAAGTGGGATAATGTGTCGAAAGTGGCCCCACAACAGTGGAAATCTTCAAGCCTAGACTTTTTAAGGAGCCCAACCACGATGGATTCGTACGTGGAATCTGGCCCTACCTCAGAGCATAAGTTTCGGCGAGCTCCAACAACTTTCCTACCTCAGAGATGCTTCTAAAGAAGACAGCCAGCAAGAGTATTTTCATCTTCAGCGATTCGCTCGGTCGCACTGGACGTTTGGGGACGAAATGCACACTGGAGCTTATACAGTGTTATTTGCTGCGGGCGATGGAGGGTGTCAGGCGGGATGAGTTTAGCGCGGTGCCAGACCCGTTCTCTAGCAGTTGCTGTGACTGCGACAGCCCGCCGTAAGTGAAAGTTTGTTCCTTTGTCCTCCTCCACGGGTTTGTTGGGCTGATGAATTGACAAATAAGCATTTTCTGGTATTAAGAGAGTTCGTGGGTGACCCATCGTGCAAATCATCATACCTCGCCGACGTTTTGAGCTCTGGATGATCGCGATCACGATCGGCAGTAAATTTTCGGTCAATCGGATGGTTAAACTCTACTTTGATCCAAACCCGAGTGGAGAACCTTGGCGCTCAGCTCGTTCCCCTCCTTGAAACTCCCCATCGAACATCGATGAGTGATATAAAGAGAAATATTTGATATTGTAATTGCTACAAAACAAGTTGCTCAAGATTTATTTCTCAGAATAAAGAGGATTCTATTCATTTCTTCTAGTGAAAGTTTCTTATAGTCCCTCCTTATTCCAGTCGGCACGCATTATCTGTTATCAAGTAGGTGCAGTCCAATCCATTTTCACCAGAAGTGTTTATGCGTTTGTAGAAGCTGGAGCTGTTCACGATTTCTTTCAACCAGAGCGCTACCTTAAAAACTATGCAGCATATCAGGAGCAGAATTCTTTCCAGACTAATGTACTCGGTCGTCGGGCAAATTGCCCATGCAGTACCTTTTCACAGACAGTCTTTCTAATTTCGAGACGGTAGACCAAATAATTGTCGCTGGATATTAGCTCCAAAATCCCAAGTTCTCCGAGCAGTTGCGTGTATTCTTTAATCTAAAATGGGAAGTTAAAGGTTTGAAAGAACCCGTGTTTATGAGAAGAAGGGTGCTGCGATACTGACTTTTGTTAGGTCGAAGTAACTAAAGTACTCGTCAATGTGATAGTCAGGGTAAGAGCTACCCACAGTGTACCAAACGGTGGTATGTATTTCAACCAACACTAAATCGCTTCCTTTCCCAATAAGCTCTTCGGCAGGTTTTGGCACTGGTTTGATTTCTAGACTCTGAAAAAATTTCAATTAGCTGTCCAAGAATTCTGCTGTATTTGTTGCTGTTACGGTTCGAAACACCCCACTCAGGGTTTAGCAGTAGCGCTATTGCGCTAATGCTAAGCCTTGTGTGCTCGCTGAATGAGTGTGGTGACAATGCTGGTTTCTTCATTCCGCCTTCATTTCATCCGCTTTATGCTTACCGGTGGCTGTGGCGGAAACGGTCCAAAGCACCGCACATCGGCAGATTTGTAGACTGGCGAGCTGGGGACGATTTGGTTCATCCAGAGTTTCATCTTAAAAAACAATAGAGATCATACACCACCCACGGCAGCATTCTGTTGTTGTTTGTCGTTTTCAAAAGGGTTGTAGAAAAAAATTGCACATGCAGCACCGTTTTACAGTCAGCGTTAACAAAATTGAGCGAATAGACCAAGTCATCTTCCGCACTTGCTTGTGGGTACGTATATTGACGCGGAAAATCTACCAAAGGTTTTAAATATTCCGGAATCTGAAATGATTCGAAAAATTACAGCACTTCGCCTGTGAAAAAACGAGCGCTTCGTAAGCTACCTTTGTGTCGTTGAAAAAGCGCATGCACGCCGAAGTATCGCGTTTGCAGGCTTCGTATCCAATGTTTGTATATAACATAACCGTAAATGAGTGCCGTTCCTGTACCGATAACTTCAGGTTTTGGCACTGGTTCGGCCGGCTGTATATTGAAAAGAATTATCTTCAGCTGTTCAAAGGAAATTTCGCAGTTTCCTTAGGTCTACACGAACGCTCACTAACTATAAGAGCCCTAAAGGCAGTTGGCACGATAAATCCTTCAAGACGAGTAGGACTGATACGCCTGGCAGGACGGAATTCCGCGACCCTGAGCAGGCGCTGCATAATGCCTTTTCCAAGGAAGGTGCCCTTATAAGGGCCCTATCAAGCCACAACTTTACGTCCCAAACGCCCGCCACGCCCGCCCGCCCACAAATGGACGACCGTTCCTGACGCTCTAATTGATTCATTTGCTAAGCAAATTATGAAGCGGCCGTGATGCTGCATGGATATATGAGTACACATATGCAGCCGTACCTTCGGTAGCGGTTATTGGCAAGATGCCTACGAGGAAACTCGTCCTTTTTTTAATTACTATCACAGTAAAAACGAATTCTCTTTCTTCGCAGGACTTGACCGTTTCACTCCGTTCTTTCGCCATTTCCCCACTATATAGCAGCCCCTACTAGCATTTTAGGCCGAGCACCAATTCATCGTGCGAACTGCCTTTAAAATGGCCTATTGTGCTACTGTTAAGCGTTGAATGCTTGCCAAATGATATATGGTCGTGATAGAGCTAGCTTTCACATTTCTCTTCATTTTGCTATCCGTTTTGCTCTTACCGGGAATGTTATCGGTGCCTGGCATTGCACACTGGCGCCTATGAAGATTCTCGGCAGTGAAGAAGATGATTTGTTTCATCCAGGATACCACCTTAAAGAGCAGTCGAGAACTGACACCATACATAGCAGCATTAACTTGCTGCTTGTAGTTCCTAAGATCAGTGTTTAAGCAATACCGCTTTACAGTCAGTATTAAAAATTGAGAAGAGATAAGCCAAGACATTGTCCGTAGTTTTGCTTATGAGAAATTCGCCGATGTTTCCTACGTCTCCGATAGCTTTTGAATATTCCCAAATCTGAAATCAGTATTAAATGTAGTGCGTTAGCAATGGGAAAAGGAGTAGTTCGTAGTCGACCTTCGACTTGATGAAGAACAACTCGCATGAAGAGCGATTTTGTTCGCAGACTTTATATTCCGTTTCTGTTGTTAACGCAACGCTTGCTGTCCGAAACCCTCTTCCATGAACTGTAGGCTTGTCCACTGGCAAAGAAGACATCTAAACAGAGAGTTGTCATAAGCTGCTCAGAAAAAAGGTCTCCCGCGCTCTTCAAGTACGAAAAACATTTCATTCGCAGCTTAGCAATAGCGCTATTGTGCTATTGTTAAGCGCTGAGTGCTAGCTCAATTCGTTAACGTTCACGGACTCCGTCTTCATCTCCTCTGCGCTTTGAACTTACCAATGTCGGCAGTGGATTAAGCGAGCATTGCACATTGGCGGAAACGAAGACTGACGTGCTGAGGACGATTTGATTCATCCACATTCTCACCTAAAAAAACAATCGAGATTGCCCACTCGCAGCCGCATTGGCTTGCTGCTTGTCGTTCTCAAGTGGTTTGTCCAAAAAAGGGAGCAAACAGTACCGCTTCACAGTCAGCGTTCTGAACTGGGAACATATAAACCAGGCTGTCGTTCGCAGTTTTGCCTGTGGTTACACTATTAAAATCTATGTCTCCGATAGGTTCTGAGTAGATCAAAATCTGAAATTAATTGAAGGATCATAGTGCTTCTATGAGAAAAGGATTAACTTTGTAATCGACCCGCTGGAAGGTGAAGAATTCTTTGCAAGAGGAGCCATCTTGGCAGAGTTTGTAGTCAATGTTTGTTGTTAACGTAACGTTTACTGTCCGATATCCCACTCCGATAACTTCAGGTTTCGGCACTGATTCAGCCTCCTGTACTTTCAAAAGAATTATCTTTAGCTGTTTGGAGAAATCCTCCAGTTTTCACCTACCGGCATTGATGAGGAGTCGACTCTTGGTAGAGCGACTCCCATGACGAAGAGAACGAGAAGTAGACTTCCCATGATGGAAAGCTGATGTGATGTGATGCTGAATAGCTAGGCTTCGCAAGCTTTTATACCCGCATGGTATAACTTTATGGCTATCAAAAAAAACCTTTCGTATGACAAATTTAGTTGTTTGCCAGACAGCTACGTGCAAATGTCAGATTTCGTAACTGTCTGAATAAGAGTTTTTCTCTTCCCATATTTTCCTTTGTGACGTTATCAGTCTGTTCTGTGCTTCTCAGTTTGATGGTAAATCATATGACCCTTTCAAGTGCTTGACAAAATTCGGAAGCTCAGAACTTGTCCAACAGATATTCCCCGAATGGAGTTCTTCGCTTTGAGGACCACTTATGTGTTAGTGCGTGAAAATTCATTCTCCGGAGTGGACAGATGAACTGAAGTGGGGTTCCAGCATTGGGCGAGCTTTCGAAGAAGCGTGACAGTGCTGCGTGGACGA